AAAAAACTTGCTTTACCAACAAGACTTAGTTGTCGAGAGAACGTAGTAATCAAAAGTCAGAACAGTTGAGATAGAACCAGGTCACTGATATCGGGTAAACGTGTGTACGTCGACCCGTGACTCTGAAGATTAAGACTCCATGAATAAGGGAGCTGATAAACACCCTCGGTTGAGGTAGTTCGTGGATTTGTGCGATTTCCTAAAGGCTCGCCAAATCGTCGATGAGCAAATGCAGATCGCATTTTCTGATTAAAACTTGACACGGAGTGCAAAGACTTGATCATTGGGCTTTAAGTTACACGACCCATATGTCTTAAGCTCGTTATACCTCTTAAGTCTCTGCTCTAAAGAAATGTGAGCCGCCATGAGCTGAGTTCAGGGCTTTCTCTGAACTCCTGAGAATTAAGCAAGGTAAACGTGACGTACACTCGTACAGCCAGTACATACGTCATGTTACGAGCTGCACCACTGACTACCTCCACTTAAACAAACGATAAGTACTTTGTTCTTGTACGTTCTCACATATGATCTGATTATGATCTATCTCTTTTAAGTGGAATTTAAAACCCTGGAAGGGGCAACCCGCATTCGAAACAAGACAATTTAAGTGTAAGAACAACTCACATGAAATCGAAATTCTGTCGTCCCCCAAAGGCAACCTGAAATCGAAAATTTAAAACCAAAATAATTTGTTAAGCTGAGAGTACAATCTTTTAAGTACCAAAATTTAGTGAAATTTCTGACATGCGAACCAGAATTCAAAATACAGGGCATTAAGCATACGAATGCAGTGTTTTATACGTGTACCACGCACCGCAGGATACTGTATCCGTTGAGAAGCCAGGAAGGGTCCGAGGCGCGGGTCCGAAGTTATTTCAAAGACGACACACTGTGATGGACGACCAAAAAATGTTCAGGTTAGTAGGTGAGGAGAACCCTATCAATCTTGCAAAGTCGAGTGAATCTGCATGCCTCTTCACGAGATCTGCTCCCAACACGCATTTATTGTGTGTTGATACTTCAGCTAATAAGGGAAACCTCATTAGCTTGAAACTCCAAGTGGCACCCGAATGTCGCTTCGAGCCCTAGTCGATTGTAGGGCTCGGAATAACTTTTATCAACGTCAATCACTGAAAAACAGAGGTCGGATATATCCAGCGCGGGATCCCCCTCACAAGGATGAAGTTGCGCCCCGCGACAGTTTAATCTGTCGTAAAGTCACTGATCAATTATTTGGGACGTGGATCGGTGACCACCCAATGAAACGCCACTAACTGGCAGATAACAACAACGTGATATCTGGCGATCCAATGGGAGATGGGAGGCGATCTCAACAAGGATCAACGAGCCAGCCCGATTGCGACTACGATGACAGAGACGGGCGATCCTGAGACAAGGCGACAAACCCGAATAACTTCTTTGGATCAATCTGAGACAAGACGACAAACAGAAGGATTTTCATGGAACGATACGATACGAGGCGCATAGAAAGACGCTTTTCGTGATGTAATCTGGGACAAGGAAGTGGGATGAAGTCGTAAAATTCACCTGAATGTTGGTCGAGGACAAGGATGCGCATATTAAAGCAGGTGAAGACTGGATCGCAAATTGATATGCGAAAGTCTTGTGATTGACGGACATCGGAACGTCAAAGTCACTGGATAAGGCAACGGTCGTGGATATTGGGACCAATTCACTTTGAAAAGGTGTATTTGGGGCCAAAAGATAGGGTGTGATTTTGCGAAGAAAGCAGCCACATGCGGAGATACTTTTTACAGAAACCATAATGAGAGTACTAATTTTAGTTAATTATACACCGATCTGGAAGTCTTGCATACTCAGCGGAGCCAAAAGAGCCGACGTTGAGGTATTTGGTGAAAGCTTTCGATTTGATAACACTGGAGAATGATGTTAAGCACGTACGAGGAAATGAAAGTATTAAACGCCGACCTAGACCAAATCGACCTCCAACATCTTGGTTTTAAACGACCGATCGGTCATACTCCACACTGACCATGGATAAAAGGTTGATGAAGATACGGGATCATGTGGAATCTACTGGTTGGAGGTCCCTTAGTGATGTCAAAAATTTCCATATTAAAAGAGCCAGTGGAAGCCGTCCTAATTGACGTCACAAAGTGAATTTAGACATTTTCGGTAATTTGGGTCCTCTAGGGTACTATGTCGTCAAGAATGAGTATTTGGTACCAAATTTTAAATTTTGGATACATTTGTTGATCTAAGTACGATCGGGAACACTGGCGCTATCATTGCAGTACAGAGCACAAAATTTCGACACGTGGCAAGGGAGCAATCCAAGTTTAATGTATTAACGGTTTGAGAGTGACTTATAGTTAAGAATAGGCTTAAAGATAGGCTGGCTAGTAATGTAATTGGTAAATAAACAGACTTGGAAACTACTTGTTCCATAAACTCCACGCGTCCTCCCTTTTCCGGGCAAGATTTCTTTGGCTTACCGACGGCTCTAGATACGCGTGCTCAAGGAAATCATAGAATGATTTTGGATCGTTGGCCAAGTTTATCAAGAAGGATCTCGGGGAGTTTGGCCCAGATCGATCGCGATCTTACACACTCAACTCACTTATAGGGTAGCAGCAACACGGTGGAGGCTTTTGGTTACAAGATCTCTGGACGGCTCAAGGGGTCAAGAGTTCTATACAAGGCGTTCAAGACAAGACTGAACAAGATCGACGCGATCAACACGGCAGATCGGCACGTTTCATTTTGGCAATAATCAAGACTTGTCTTTCCACACTGCGCACTTCTGACCAGATCAGCCGATCTCGAAACCAGATCGGAATGATCTTAAGGCACTGTGGTCAAGTGGCGATCGCTTATTTTATAAAGCGATTCTGCTATCCACAGATTCCCAGACGACCGACTGTCGGAGGGGGAACTCCGTTTCCGTGTCTTATAATTTCTTGCTCACCTTGTGACCCGTCGGTAGGGCAGGCTGCACTCTTCTCGTTGGAATCGCGACGATAGAAAACTTGACCGTGTTTGTAATGGGTTGGCGCGATCGGCTGGAAATTTTCACGCGATCACGGGGTACTTGTAGGGTGTTTAATATAAGTCACCCGGATCGCAACGAGATCGCCTTGTCCACTGTGTGGATGTGTGGTAAAGTCGATCAAGATCGGTGTCGTAAAATCTCAAACGTATGCCTAAGTACGGAGTGAGGAACGGCGGAATGATCGTGGGACGAGGACCAATCTTGTGGATGGCACCGTTTGGATCATTCACGGAAATATCTTATCCGGTTAGAACAATTCAGAACGCGAAAGGGACCGCGATCAGAAGACCGCGATCAGGGGATGCGATCAGGGGACTGCGATCAGGGGCCGCGATCAGGGGCCGCGATCAAGGGACCGCGATCCGGTGTGGACCATGCCCTGATGCGATCAGACGGTTGGTGTGTCAGGTCTGTGCCACATGGATGCGAGGGGCGATCTGTAGAGGCGACGCGTGACATCTGATTTCCGAATTGTAGGGGTAAGATGTGAGTGCCTTATTGATTAACATTAAACAGAATTCAATTTGCTTCTAAACACATTCGTGTCGATCTTCTCCCGGGTTGGCTATTTTGGCCTCCCGACGTCTGAGAATCTCGACATCAAGGATAGAACGATCACTCCTGGAGCTATTTGACTAGGAGTGCTAGGACTCTCAACACACCCCTACTGCGATCGGACGCAGCCAACCGTATCGGTTGAAGTACAAGATCGCGAGACGGCTCAAGTGGCCAGAAAGGGTCGCGACTCAAGTACACATTTTAACACAAGGTGATCAGGGCAGATCACGGCGACTCTAGGAGAGCGCCAACCCAGAACACGCGATCGGGTGAGGATTTTCCACCCGATCAGCAACAATCTCTACAACGGTCAAGTTTAGCATCTCGTCGAGTCCACCTAGAAGAGTGCAACCCGCCCTGCCGACGGGTTCACAAGGTGAGGAGGAAACAAGTGCAAGCGGAATCGGAGTACCCCCTCCGTTAGTCGGTCGTCCAGGCGCCAGTGGAGAGTCGGGATCGCCTCAAAAAATGAGCGAACCCCACTCCACCACAATGGTGCGCGTGCCCGGATCTTTGGTGACTCGGGATCTCTCCGTGAGTCCCGAGATGAAGATGTTAAGATCAAGACTGAATCTGGGATTGGAGCGTCAGCGGAAGTTGGATCGCCACGGACACGTGAAGAGAAAGGATCCCAAGATTATCATAGTTTTGGAAGGGGTTATGATGACAAGAAAGTCAAAGAGGAAGATCACTAAGCTGATCTGGAAGAAAAAACTCAACCGCCTCCTGAGGTCCCTTCATGGACCACCGCGGATCGTGCTTTACAGCACGATCTGCCAGATGGAAATCCTTCAGTAAAAACTGAAAGATCTTCAGTCAAAACTACCGCCCAACAAAAGGCGAGAAAACACACTCGTAAGTTGGCCTGGTCAAAGACGAAGACGGCAGAGCCACATCGAAACAAGCAAGAGATCAAGGCAGAAGGTCAGGATGTGGAATAAGAAAGCTGGCAATTGGAACAGATCACCTGGTAATTCCATTGGCAACAACTGAAAAAACATCTTGCAGAAGACCCAGTCCTAAAGGTGCTGAAACCTAAGCTGATCGGGTCGACCCAAGGTCCAGTATCGCCACCGAAAGTGACCTCGAATCATTTCGAGGCATAGCATCGGCTAATTCAGCTGCTAAGAGACGCTGGATTTACAGCTGGAGCTTTCATCGCACAAACGCTCTTAGAATTTAATCACGATCGGGTGATCAAAGCACGACAGCTACTATTCGAAAAGCTAACTCCACTGACAGGGTCTCACAACCCTATGAGCCAATGGATCAAGAGTGAAGAAGGACATCTGAGCCAGCGAATCAAGAGTGAAGAAGGACACCTGAGACAAGAGAGAGAGAGTCAACCAACCGCAACGTGAAAGAGGAATACACGGGGTCGTCACGCTATGCCTCGGCATAATCAGATATGGACCCAGACGAGTCGTTTGGGATGCAGCGGATGTCGCTGGGACCGACAGGGGCAGCAATGCTTAAAAACAGGCTCGACCCGGCTAACAATGGAATACGATCGACTCAAATTCCGGCTTCACAGAATGCAAACACGGTGGAGACAAGCCAGTTGCAAACATATTCCAAGGCCGCCATGGACAAATTCATTCGCGATCGCGAAGAACAAGTATCTAACTACCCGATCGTCCCAGACGTCGAAATGGATTCAGTAGACTCATACCGCGATCGACCGGGAGAACATGAGTCAGAACGCAGGGGACCATATGATCTAAGACGACCACAAGTGGCAACTGCAGGAACCGCCCCTACGGGAGGTTTCAGCGCACAGAGGATTAGATTGTCGGTGATGGCCGATCTGAAAGAATTTTCAGGACGTGATCAAGACGAAGAACGTGCTAGAGGTTGGTTTAACAAGATGAAGACTGCCTTTCTACGCGATCAGGCTCCAGACCACGAGAAATGTCTGGTATTTGGAGAACTGCTCACAGGACCTGCCCGAAGTTGGTACAGCCAGTTGAGCCGATCGACCCGCGATGATTGGAAGTCGTTGTCGGAAGGCTTCAGGGTCCGATATGGAGGATATGGAATGTCAGCTGAAAGGCAATACTACCACGCGCGGAAGAGACCGAATGAAACCCCGTTGGAATACTTGGACCGGTTGAACGTAGCAGGAATGCGAGCAAAAGTGGCGTTCAGAGATGGATCGCCAGCAAGCCGACGTGAGCATGTAGAACACTTGATTGACACTTTGGATGATCGAGAGTTGGCGAAGCAACTGACCTTATTGCGAGTGCATGATGCTAACACGATGAAAGGAACTCTACGCGCTTATCAGCGCATGAGTTTTCGACAGAATAAGGATCCGAATGACTCGAACAAGTACCGATCGAGATCGGCTACAACGCCAGCCCAAGTATATTCGAATACACCACGGATGGTGAAGGCCATTCGTGCAGAAAGTGAGGAAAGAGACTCAGGCTCAAGTTCGGACGATGCAGATGAAGAATAGTTTCGCCGTAAGGTTTGTGTGACGACTATCACTGATCAGGCTGCAATCTCGGGGGATCAACGAGACAGGTCGCGAGAAACAGACCGAGATGATGATCGCTATCGGAAAGGTGTTGCGAAAGCCTGCACACACTGCGGCTCGAAAATACATGACGATCGCGGATGCTGGAAAAGATTGGCTTGTCAGAAGTGAGGCCGAAAGGGCACCCCTCGGACAAATGTCTACATGTGTGTTCCGCTTGTGGGGAAGTTCACGAGAGCGGCCAATGTTCCATGGAAGAGTTTTACAACCTTATCCGCAAGTGGTACGTCCCAACCAAGCACGCAGGACTACTACTGACCAAGGCAGAAAAGGTGTTAAACTAAGACGCTCGCCAGGTTGGAATCTGGCACGAGCCGAGCGTTCTAGGCTATGCATATATGCATTTGTGGAGCAGGGCAGGATCAATCAAGAAAGTAACAATCGTATCGACCCAACCGCTAATACATGTGATTGGAACACCATCGGTTGTGTGGCATTTCAAGTGTAAAAAAGGTGGATGAACATTTACGATCTCCCGTTAAGATGGAACTCGATCTAGCGCCGGGGGAATCGAGAGGATATTGGGAATATCTCACGCCAGAAGAATGTTTTAAACAGGCTAAAGCGGTGGGTAAAATTAATAACGAGAAGGCTACCATGCTATTCGATTCTGGAGCCGAAGTCTCAATCGTAGACGCCACCTTTGCTCGTAAGGTGGGATATGTGATTGATGACAGCCAGAGACAGGAATGTGTGGTGATCGGGGAGAATGCCTACATGACGGAAGGACGCACTAAAATCAAGATCACATTAAACGGAACGCTGGTGCATTACTTTGACGTTTGGGTGGGCGATCAAGTGGGCCAAGAAGCGATTTTAGGTTTGGACTTTATGGTGCCAGCGGGAATAAGGTTAGATTTGGCGGACGGCACGCTTTGTTTGCCAGATGAGGTGAAAAATCACTTGGCAGGGCGCAGGCCTCCGTATGGGGTAAACATGCAACCGATCGTTATCCCAGACCAACATATAGTAATTCCTGCTGGAGAATCCACGGAGATGAGGATTGGAGCAGGTTTCCCTAAGTCCAAACTATGGGTGAGACGGGATAAAAAAATGGGTGCCGACGGTGAATACTGGACCGGGACAGATCAAGTACTTGATACTGACCAACATCGTCGATCAGCAGGTGATTCTCAATCACGATATCCCTTTAGGGTGGTGGATGATGACAGACGTGATACCCCGATTGCCGGGCTATGTATCAGTTGAATCACGCCGGTATAATGAACGGCGGACTCTAGCGTTTGAAGCTACAACGGAATCAACCAAGGAACACCCGATCGAGTATTCGAGGCACTTAGTGAATCACCCGTCATACCCCATCCCAAAGAAGATTCTGGCCCACAGAGATAAACAAGGAAGGAATATGGAGGGAAGCCGATCAGATCTGCTAGCTCCACAAGCAAAGATGACGAATGTCGCAGAACGCCAGATCGTGAAAAAGGATCACCCCGACAGCGACGAGCAGCGATCACTAGAGGCACATGCCGTGGTCAATACCGCAGTGAAGGCATAAGAGGGCTATCGGTCACAGCAACACTCAGACGACGTAATCAGACAAGCACAAAAGATCGCGATCGGCGATGATCACCCGGTCGGAGACGATCAAGAGCTCGAATTGTCAGATCAAAAGATACAGAATGCTACAGTACTGAATCGCGAGGGAGACGTGACAGACGAGATACAAACGAAATCGGTGGCTTATCACCACGATAGTGAAGATTTATTTGCGGAAGATGTGGACCAACATATGGCACTCTTGCCAGAAATAATTGCGCCCACAAAGGAAGTGGCTATAGATGACATCCAGGTTAGCGATCCAGGTTTCCCGCTGACAGAAGATCAGGAGAAGCTGAGGCAACTGATTTGGAAAAATCGCCACTTACTCATAGGAAAAGGAAACGCCTTGCCTCCAGCTGCGCGTGGAGCAGTATGTGACATTGATGTTGGAGGTGCCAAACCGATCGCGCAATGAGTACGACCGGTGGCACCTAAAGATCGAGAAAAATTGGCGGACCTGATTAAGGGATTATTATCAGCCAAGATCATTCAACCGTCCATTTCACCTTGGGCTTCTCCGATCGTGGTGATTATCAAGAAAAATGGGGAGGACATACGGCTGTGCATCGATTACAGGAGGGTGCATCAGTTGACACGATTGATGATCAACCCTATGCCACTAATCAGCGAATTATTACAAGACTTGGATAAAGCGATGTGATATTGTTCGTTAGATATGGCGAGTGGTTTTTGTGTAGTAGAAATGACGTAACGAGCAAGAGCTATTTCTGCATTCATCACGCCGTCGGGTTTGTTTGAATGGTTGCGAATGCCTCTTGGGCTAAAAACGCTCCCCAGATATACCAACGACTTATCGACAATGCACTATATGGTTATCTCAAGATCTACCTAACACCTAACTCGCATGCAGTACCATCGTCGACACCAACCGATGTGTTCACTGACGGAGTGCCGGACACAGATCCAAGACCATCAGTTTTAGGCCGAAGGTCCTATATCGATGACATCTTGATACCTGCTGAATCCTGGTCATCCCTGTATGAAAAGGTGGAACGATTGCTAAAGGTGTGTGACCGATGGAACCTATTGACCAGTGGGGCAAAGCGTTTCTGGGGGCGCTTTAACGTCGACTATCTAGGCCACCAAGTTTCACACAAAGGGTTGGAAGCCCACCCCAAGGATTTAAACTCAATTGCGAATATTCCCTTCCCTCGAACTCTGTGATCAATGCAATCATTCTTGGGAAGCCTAAATTAATACAGTCGTTTTATCGAAGACTTCGCCACATATGCGTCCGTGCTCTACGAGCTACGGGAAGCAGATTTCCACGATATCAGCCAAGATTAAGAAGTTCGGATAATGGCATCCAACAGTGAACCCGATCGTGATCACGATTCGCGAAATGAGTCCTGCAACGATCTGGGCCAAAAAAACAGGGTGCGATATGGACCGGAAAACAGGGGGCGATTTAGATTCTGGAGATGGAAGTCGATGGAAGGAAGCGGTGATGGCTTTTAACTTGCTAAAGGGCAAAATTGCTAAAACACCGATCTTAAGACATTTCGACAGATCGAGCACCGGTGATTGTGGTTTACGCCAGTAAGTGGGCGGTATCAGCCGCATTGCTTCAAGAGTATGACGGCACGTATTGGCCTGTCATTTTTCTAGTCGCACGCTGAACTCCAACGAAGTCAATTACGGAATTGTTGAGAAAGAAGTGCTAGCCCTCCTCCGAATGTTAGACATTTGTTATACGATGTTGTTTTCGCGGAAGATCATGGTGCTTACGAGATACTCGACGTTGGATTGGCTATTGCAGTCGTCGGGTCTTAACGGAAGACTAGGGAGATGGTCGGCGTTACTATCGAACTGGACGCTAAATATCAGACGGTGCGAAAAAGGCGAAGACGAAGTGCTAGGTACGCTGGCTGCAAGTATAACACCTCGAAAGGATGTAGATGAAGTGCTGATTGCGATCGCTCCAAGGAAACAACCACGAAATAAAAAACATTAGTATCCACCACCCACAGTCAAAGTAGGCGAAAGTGTCCTGGTGGTCAGTTTCGATGGATCGGCTAGGGTAAAGAAGAAAGGTGGCACTTACAGCGCAATGATATGGAAGTTGCCTGAATGGACGATCGTGGTGGCTACTTCAGAATTTGCGGATGATTTGACGGTAAACGAGGCAGAATATTGTGGGCTGTTGCTGGGTCTGGAGTCAGTGTCCGATCAGATCATAGGTCGGGTGATCTTTTGTGGTGACTCGAACTTGGTAATAAGACAGATGCGAGGTGAAATCGACTGTAAGGCACCAGGACTACAACTTCTGAAACATAAGGCAATGGGGAAACTCCGATCTTGGCCAAAACACGAATTGCTACATGTGAAACGGGACTGGAACCAGAGTGCTGATCGACTAGCGATCGAGGCGTTACGTCAGGGGAAAGGATGTAGCAGTATCAGACCAAGAACGAGACGATCTCGTGACCCTTAATCGTTTACATGAACTACTGATACCAAAACAGACTAACCACCCAGTCAAGGTAGCCGCGATCACGCGATCAACGACGCGAAGACGATGCCCCCAGACAGTTTTACAAGAAGAAATTTTACGTCCGGATCGAACGCGTAAACCATGCGCAAAATGAGGAAAGTTGGCTATCGGACTTGAAGACATATCTGATCGGGAATATAACCACGCTGAGTGCTAGGGACGCAAAGATATGCACACTGATCTCACCAGACTACGAAGTCGACCAAAGTGGACTGCAATTTTCTGCCCTAGGGTGGCATCAATGAGCGAAGATCGTGGAGAGTCGATTCGTCTGGTAATTCCAGAGTTGCTGCAACAAGACGTCCTACACCACTACCATAATACTCTAGAGGGTAGGCACCAAGGGGTAGGCCGTACATACCATCGGATCAGGGCGAATTTTCATTGGAGAGGATTGTACCGGAGCGTGCAACTCTTTAATGGCGAATGTATTGATTGTGAAACCGGCAAAGGTCGCCCACAAGATCGAGGTGGGTCTCCAGGCAGCTTGCAAGCGACGTACCCATTCCAAATTCTGGCAATGGATCATATCCCATCTTTACCGCGATCGTTTAGGGGGAATACTGATTTGCTGTTGTGGGTCGATCTGTTCTCGGGTTACGTGATCGCAAAAGCGACTTCGTCCCGAACTGCACAGACGATTGCAGAGAACTATGAAGAAAGCGTATTTCGAAGATTTGGTGCGAGTGAAATCATCTGTCATGATCGGGAGCCAGGATTTATGTCTGACTTCTTTCGAGCTTTCAACAAGATCGCGGGACAGAAGCAACAAGCCACAATGGTGTGTCGACCTCAAGCGAACGGAACTGCAGAACGTATGATTCAAGCTTTAACGCGATCGATTAAGATGTGTGTCGCTGACGAAAACCAGAGAGATTGGGATGAATATGCAGAAAGATTAACCTATGCGATTAATACCGTACAAGATCGAGTCCGCGAAAATACACCATTTTATCTAATCCATGGCTGGTACCCCCGATCGACGTTGGAAGCGGCATTACCAATGGGAAGTGTCAAACCTCGCGATCGAGATCCAAGAAGATGGAGATATAGCATACAGCGTCAGTATCAACAGGCAAGAGCAATTGTGAACGATCGGTTAAAGATCGCTATCCAGGACAGATCGGATCGTCACAATGACAACAGAAATCTGCTAGAGATCGATCAAGGGACACAAGTGTGGTTGTATTTGGATCGCGTATAGGATGGATATGCTCGGAAGTTAGCTCATATGTGGCACGGACCCTTTCGAGTAATGGAAAAATGTGGAGATCATGCAGTAAAATTGGATATCGCAGGCACACCTGATAGGTTGTTCCCGATAGTGCATGTGTCCAAGCTAAAGCCAATGAAGATGTTCTCAGAGCGGCCTCAAAGTCAACTGAAGGTAGACGAGTCCGATCGGGTCGATTTCGACGAAGCATTACTACCAGAAGATAGCTGGGAAGGTGAGTTGGATGATGGTGAATTCGAGGTGACAAAGATTGTAGACGTCCGATCGGGTCGAAAGACGCGTTACGGACGAGTACACCGTCAATTCTGATTCAATGGAAAGGTAATAGCGATCAATCATGGGTGGATGAAGCAGACTTGTATTGTGGTGCTCTATTACAAGAATTCGATCACGATCGGATAAGTCGAAATAGGTTCGAAGTGATGCAAATGCACGAAGAAGAGCCAGGATGATAGACCAGATCGAGGTGGATGGGGTGTGTAAGTGTGCAAGGAGGTTGTACATGGTCGTACGGTGGTAAAAGTTACACCCGGAGGCGGTGTATGAAGGAGGAAGGTATGTTTGTAAGTATGTTTAGCGATCGAAGCACGATCGCGGCCCAAGAGGCCTGAAGTAGAAGACATTTCCGGAGAGATCAAGATTAAAGACAGTATGAAGAAATGAAATTGAAACACGAAATGTGTTGAACTCGATAGACTACGGGGCGAAGAACTTACCGGATAGGCGAGGGATTGACATGCCTGGGTGATTCGCGATCGAAGTCCGGTACTGATTACGCCATGGCTCAGCAGAGTTTGTCAACGACAAAGCGGAAGCCAGATTGGGAATTTTAGTCTTCCCAGTCCCCAACCCGGGGTACCAGAACTGCTTCTCATGTAAGCGAGGTAGGTGCAAGAAAACCGGGTCCAGCAGAATTTCCAAGTCGCAAAGGCCTTCTACCATTCCTTGAAGTATGAACTTGAGTACAGTTTTCCAAGGAGGTCCAGATCGCGATCGCCGCTGTTTGCGCTGATTGCAGAATACGCCAGCCCAGGATCTTTAACCCGATCGGCGGAAGAAATGGGCAAGGTATGGGTTGATTCCCACAACGTCTGGATGTAGCGCTCTTCGAAAGAGTGGTATAAGTCCAGCAACTGCTAGAACCACCCAACGGGCTGGATTCCTTCGGCGCGGGGTGCCGCGCCTTACGATAAAGCGCGGCAACACGCACCGAAGGAATCAATTGGGGAGACCACTCAGACATGGGAGGTGCTTTCGACACAGCAGGAGAGGCTGGAAAAGGGTAATGCTTGGGCCTGGCGAGATGGCGATAGAAGAACTCCAAATACAATTATAACACGCTAATCCAGCTCACCCGGCGCGCAGACCAAGGTTAAACTTGAACAGAAGATTTTGGTACGCGACAATGATACCCGGGTATCCACTGATCGCGGGGCACCTTAGACTTGGAAAGATCTTTGTACTCGGTCAAAGACAACCGATTATTGGCTGGGGCTCGGACGTCTTCCGTAACGCTGATCGGACTCTCCGAACTGCTAGAAGCTTCGCCAAACAAATCGGCCTTGGAAACCTTGGGTTTTGGCCTAAGGGAAGCGGCAACTAGGGAGGTGGGGGAATCCACATCCGGGCTGGAGGTATCCACTACGATCAACTCTGGTAACGTAGAGAACGGAGTCGTCGGATTACCCAACGGGACTTTACGCCATGAAGAAGAGCGTGATCGGGAGAGTGCAGCCAAGGTTCGAGGCCCAGCATCCGATGAATTGTCATCATCCGAGCTAGCTGGAGCAGGCGTCAGATTGCGCGCTCTGCCTTTGCCTTTTCGAACGCCAGGTCTGGGAAGAACGGGAGTCTTGGGCGTAAGTTTTGCTTGAGATCGTGTGGAACTGTGGGGTGATCGTGAAGGGTTGTTCTTCGGGGATTTACACGGCGGAGAAGGCTCGGCGACGATACCGGACGCAGTCGGAGAATGAGTATCGGGTGTCACCTTGACGACCGACTGCGAGGTAGCCTCGATTCTGGCTCTCTTGGTCCGCGGAGGAGGAGTTAGAGCGGAAGTACTAGGGCGTTTGACACTAGCACTCGTAGATGGGGCCGTCTCAACTGGACGGGACGAAAAAGGTAAACTGGGGCCGGTAACGAGCGCGGCAATGCTCGTTCGAAGGACGTCGCAATCGCGCAACGCCTGATCGCGCTCTAGCTCCAAACCTGAGATAGTAGCTTGAAGCAGACCCACCCGATCGTCACGATCGGAGAGCAAGGAGCGCGATCGGTCATACTCAGCTTCCAACTCAGCCAGATCATCCCGAAGTTGATCGCGCTCCACTGATACAGCGGCAAGAGCAGCATGCAGGTGGCGAACCGTGGTCTGAGCCTTCGTACAGTCTGTCTTGTACTTGGCTCTCTTAGATTTGGCCCTCAAGAGTGCGGCTTGAAATCGAGCGCTCCCCTCATCCTTGTGTCGTCGCAAGGAAGCCAGCTCGAGATCATGACGTTCTTTAAACGTATGAAGTGATCGGGTCATTTTCAGAAGTTTCGACTTTAGGTCGCTAATCTGCTTCTCGTAACAACTCCCCGCGCGAATTGTCTCCTGAAGCAAAGCGACTTCAGCGAGTGCATTTTTCAAATCCAGACGAAGGCGATCACAACGAGTTTGAGCGAAGATCACAAAAGGAGAGGCCGACTCGGTAAGAGAACGGAGTTCCCGTTCTAGTCGATCGCACCTCCGAGTTTGCTCCCGCAACGCTTGCTACAGATCGCGACAGCTATCCACAAGATCCTGCTGGGATGCGAGCCGCTGATGAAGTCCAGCGATCATACCAACCGCGATCGTTTCATCAACTATTGGTTTTTCAACTCGAGTGGTCGGCAACGGAATAGCCCCAATAGGGTCGCCAATTGCAGCAAAATTGTCGACGACATCAAGCGTCAACGCGGAGCTCATCAGATCAGTGGTTGCAGCAGATTCTCCGACTCCAATCGGCTCGTCACTTGCAGCGGAACTGTCACGGACATCAGGCGTCAACGTGGAGCCGATCGGTTCCGTACTTGAAGCGAGGTCCACAACATCGAGTCCCAAAGCAGGGCCGTATCGGACCTCCGCTCACCGAGGTACCGTCAACCGCGTCTGTAGTGGAATCGGGACCAGTTGGGTGCTCGCGTGGCGAAACTTCAACACCGACAGAAGTTGTGGGACCAGATTGCGTCATCACCGAGGGAGATGGCGCACAACTAGTTGGTGGCAAGATGGGCGTGGACAACGGGGAAACCATGGAAGGCAACGAGAGGATAAAACGGAAAGTGGTGACTAAAACGTGCACAAGCGAGCCAGATGTTGCAGATCGGCTATTTGTGCAGGAGGCGATTGTGGTAAAGTCGATCAAGATCGGTGTCGTAAAACCTCAAACGTATGCCTAAGTACGTAGTGGGGACCGGCGGAATGATCGTGGGACGAGGAACAATCACGTGGATGGCACCGTTGGGATCATTCACGGAAATATCTCATCCGGTTCGAACAATTCAGAATGGCGAAAGGGACCGCGATCAGGGGACCGAGATTGAGGAACCGCGATCAGGGGACCGCGATCAGGGGATGCGATCAGGGGACTGCGATCAGGGGAATGCGATCAGGGGACCGCGATCAGGGGCCGCGATCAAGGGACCATGCCCTGATGCGATCAGACGGTTGGTGTGTCAGGTCTGTGCCACATGGATGCGAGGGGCGATCTGTAGAGGCGACGCGTGACATCTGATTTCCGAATTGTAGGGGTAAGGTGTGAGGGCCTTATTGATTAACATTAAACAGAATTCAATTTGCTTCTAAACACATTCGTGTCGATCTTCTCCCGGGTTGGCTATTTTGGCCTCCCGACGTCTGAGAATCTCGACATCAAGGATAGAACGATCACTCCTGGAGCTATTTGACCAGGAGTGCTAGGACTCTCAACACACCCCTACTGCGATCGGACGCAGCCAACCGTATCGGTTGAAGTACAAGATCGCGAGACGGCTCAAGTGGCCAGAAAGGGTCGCGACTCAAGTACACATTTTAACACAAGGTGATCAGGGCATATCACGGCGACTCTAGGAGAGCGCCAACCCAGAACACGCGATCGGGTGAGGATTTTCCACCCGATCAGCACCAATCTCTACAACGGTCAAGTGTAGCGTATCGTCGAGTCCACCAAGAAGAGTGCAACCCGCCCTGCCGACGGGTACAAAAGGTGAGGAGGAAACAAGTACAAGAGGAATCGGAGTACCCCCTCCGTTAGTCGGTCGTCCAGGCGCCAGTGGAGAGTCGGGATCGCCTCTAAAAATGAGCGAACCCCCCTCCACCACAGACGCAACAAGAACGGAAAAGGCAAGACGCAAGATCGCGAGACGGCCCAGGTAGTCAAAGGGCTCGCGCATCAAGCATCTTTGGTGGAGTGAGGTTCGCTTTTTTTTGAGGCGATCCCGACTCTCCACTGGCGCCCGGACGACCGACTAACGGAGGGGGTACTCCGATTCCGCTTGCACTTGTTCTTCCTCACCTTGTGTACCCGTCGGCAGGGCGGGTTGCACTCTTTAGGTGGAGTCGACGATACGCTACACTTGACCGTTGTAGAGATTGGTGCTGATCGGGTGGAAAATCCTCACCCGATCGCGTGTTCTGGGTTGGCGCTCTCCTAGAGTCGCCGTGATATGCCCTGATCACCTTGTGTTAAAATGTGTACTTGAGTCGCGACCCTTTCTGGCCACTTGAGCCGTCTCGCGATCTTGTACTTCAACCGATACGGTTGGCTGCGTCCGATCGCAGTAGGGGTGTGTTGAGAGTCCTAGCACTCCTGGTCAAATAGCTCCAGGAGTGATCGTTCTATCCTTGATGTCGAGATTCTCAGACGTCGGGAGGCCAAAATAGCCAACCCGGGAGAAGATCGACACGAATGTGTTTAGAAGCAAATTGAATTCTGTTTAATGTTAATCAATAAGGCCCTCACACCTTACCCCTACAATTCGGAAATCAGATGTCACGCGTCGCCTCTACAGATCGCCCCTCGCATCCATGTGGCACAGACCTGACACACCAACCGTCTGATCGCATCAGGGCATGGTCCCTTGATCGCGGCCCCTGATCGCGGTCCCCTGATCGCATTCCCCTGATCGCAGTCCCCTGATCGCATCCCCTGATCGCGGTCCCCTGATCGCGGTTCCTCAATCTCGGTCCCCTGATCGCGGTCCCTTTCGCCATTCTGAATTGTTCGAACCGGATGAGATATTTCCGTGAATGATCCCAACGGTGCCATCCACGTGATTGTTCCTCGTCCCACGATCATTCCGCCGGTCCCCACTACGTACTTAGGCATACGTTTGAGGTTTTACGACACCGATCTTGATCGACTTTACCACAATCGCCTCCTGCACAAATAGCCGATCTGCAACATCTGGCTCGCTTGTGCACGTTTTAGTCACCACTTTCCGTTTTATCCTCTCGTTGCCTTCCATGGTTTCCCCGTTGTCCACGCCCATCTTGCCACCAACTAGTTGTGCGCCATCTCCCTCGGTGATGACGCAATCTGGTCCCACAACTTCTGTCGGTGTTGAAGTTTCGCCACGCGAGCACCCAACTGGTCCCGATTCCACTACAGACGCGGTTGACGGTACCTCGGTGAGCGGAGGTCCGATACGGCCCTGCTTTGGGACTCGATGTTGTGGACCTCGCTTCAAGTACGGAACCGATCGGCTCCACGTTGACGCCTGATGTCCGTGACAGTTCCGCTGCAAGTGACGAGCCGATTGGAGTCGGAGAATCTGCTGCAACCACTGATCTGATGAGCTCCGCGTTGACGCTTGATGTCGTCGACAATTTTGCTGCAATTGGCGACCCTATTGGGGCTATTCCGTTGCCGACCACTCGAGTTGAAAAACCAATAGTTGATGAAACGATCGCGGTTGGTATGATCGCTGGACTTCATCAGCGGCTCGCATCCCAGCAGGATCTTGTGGATAGCTGTCGCGATCTGTAGCAAGCGTTGCGGGAGCAAACTCGGAGGTGCGATCGACTAGAACGGGAACTCCGTTCTCTTACCGAGTCGGCCTCTCCTTTTGTGATCTTCGCTCAAACTCGTTGTGATCGCCTTCGTCTGGATTTGAAAAATGCACTCGCTGAAGTCGCTTTGCTTCAGGAGACAATTCGCGCGGGGAGTTGTTACGAGCAGCAGATTAGCGACCTAAAGTCGAAACTTCTGAAAATGACCCGATCACTTCATACGTTTAAAGAACGTCATGATCTCGAGCTGGCTTCCTTGCGACGACACAAGGATGAGGGGAGCGCTCGATTTCAAGTCGCACTCTTGAGGGCCAAATCTAAGAGAGCCAAGTACAAGACAGACTGTACGAAGGCTCAGACCACGGTTCGCCACCTGCATGCTGCTCTTGCCGCTGTATCAGTGGAGCGCGATCAACTTCGGGATGATCTGGCTGAGTTGGAAGCTGAGTATGACCGATCGCGCTCCTTGCTCTCCGATCGTGACGATCGGGTGGGTCTGCTTCAAGCTACTATCTCAGGTTTGGAGCTAGAGCGCGATCAGGCGTTGCGCGATTGCGACGTCCTTCGAACGAGCATTGCCGCGCTCGTTACCGGCCCCAGTTTACCTTTTTCGTCCCGTCCAGTTGAGACGGCCCCATCTACGAGTGCTAGTGTCAAACGCCCTAGTACTTCCGCTCTAGCTCCTCCTCCGCAGACCAAGAGAGCCAGAATCGAGGCTACCTCGCAGTCGGTCGTCAAGGTGACACCCGATACTCATTCTCCGACTGCTTCCGGTATCGTCGCCGAGCCTTCTCCGCCGTGTAAATCCCCGAAGAACAACCCTTCACGATCACCCCACAGTTCCACACGATCTCAAACAAAACTTACGCCCAAGACTCCCGTTCTTCCCAGACCTGGCGTTCGAAAAGGCAAAGGCAGAGCGCGCAATCTGACGCCTGCTCCAGCTAGCTCGGATGATGACAATTCATCGGATGCTGGGCCTCGAACCTTGGCTGCACTCTCCCGATCACGCTCTTCTTCATGGCGTAAAGTCCCGTTGGGTAATCCGACGACTCCGTTCTCTACGTTACCAGAGTTGATCGTAGTGGATACCTCAAGCCCGGATGTAGATTCCCCCACCTCCCTAGTTGCCGCTTCCCTTAGGCCAAAACCCAAGGTTTCCAAGGCCGACTTGTTTGGCGAAGCTTCTAGCAGTTCGGAGGGTCCGATCAGCGTTACGGAAGACGTCCGAGCCCCAGCCAATAATCGGTTGTCTTTGACCGAGTACAAAGATCTTTCCAAGTCTAAGGTGCCCCGCGATCAGTGGATACCCGGGTATCATTGTCGCGTACCAAAATCTTCTGTTCAAGTTTAACCTTGGTCTGCGCGCCGGGTGAGCTGGATTAGCGTGTTATAATTGTATTTGGAGTTCTTCTATCGCCATCTCGCCAGGCCCAAGCATTACCCTTTTCCAGCCTCTCCTGCTGTGTCGAAAGCACCTCCCATGTCTGAGTGGTCTCCCCAATTGATTCCTTCGGTGCGTGTTGCCGCGCTTTATCGTAAGGCGCGGCACCCCGCGCCGAAGGAATCCAGCCCGTTGGGTGGTTCTAGCAGTTGCTGGACTTATACCACTCTTTCGAAGAGCGCTACATCCAGACGTTGTGGGAATCAACCCATACCTTGCCCATTTCTTCCGCCGATCGGGTTAAAGATCCTGGGCTGGCGTATTCTGCAATCAGCGCAAACAGCGGCGATCGCGATCTGGACCTCCTTGGAAAACTGTACTCAAGTTCATACTTCAAGGAATGGTAGAAGGCCTTTGCGACTTGGAAATTCTGCTGGACCCGGTTTTCTTGCACCTACCTCGCTTACATGAGAAGCAGTTCTGGTACCCCGGGTTGGGGACTGGGAAGACTAAAATTCCCAATCTGGCTTCCGCTTTGTCGTTGACAAACTCTGCTGAGCCATGGCGTAATCAGTACCGGACTTCGATCGCGAATCACCCAGGCATGTCAATCCCTCGCCTATCCGGTAAGTTCTTCGCCCCGTAGTCTATCGAGTTCAACACATTTCGTGTTTCAATTTCATTTCTTCATACTGTCTTTAATCTTGATCTCTCCGGAAATGTCTTCTACTTCAGGCCTCTTGGGCCGCGATCGTGCTTCGATCGCTAAACATACTTACAAACATACCTTCCTCCTTCATACACCGCCTCCGGGTGTAACTTTTACCACCGTACGACCATGTACAACCTCCTTGCACACTTACACACCCCATCCACCTCGATCTGGTCTATCATCCTGGCTCTTCTTCGTGCATTTGCATCACTTCGAACCTATTTCGACTTATCCGATCGTGATCGAATTCTTGTAATAGAGCACCACAATACAAGTCTGCTTCATCCACCCATGATTGATCGCTATTACCTTTCCATTGAATCAGAATTGACGGTGTACTCGTCCGTAACGCGTCTTTCGACCCGATCGGACGTCTACAATCTTTGTCACCTCGAATTCACCATCATCCAACTCACCTTCCCAGCTATCTTCTGGTAGTAATGCTTCGTCGAAATCGACCCGATCGGACTCGTCTACCTTCAGTTGACTTTGAGGCCGCTCTGAGAACATCTTCATTGGCTTTAGCTTGGACACATGCACTATCGGGAACAACCTATCAGGTGTGCCTGCGATATCCAATTTTACTGCATGATCTCCACATTTTTCCATTACTCGAAAGGGTCCGTGCCACATATGAGCTAACTTCCGAGCATATCCATCCTATACGCGATCCAAATACAACCACACTTGTGTCCCTTGATCGATCTCTAGCAGATTTCTGTTGTCATTGTGACGATCCGATCTGTCCTGGATAGCGATCTTTAACCGATCGTTCACAATTGCTCTTGCCTGTTGATACTGACGCTGTATGCTATATCTCCATCTTCTTGGATCTCGATCGCGAGGTTTGACACTTCCCATTGGTAATGCCGCTTCCAACGTCGATCGGGGGTACCAGCCATGGATTAGATAAAATGGTGTATTTTCGCGGACTCGATCTTGTACGGTATTAATCGCATAGGTTAATCTTTCTGCATATTCATCCCAATCTCTCTGGTTTTCGTCAGCGACACACATCTTAATCGATCGCGTTAAAGCTTGAATCATACGTTCTGCAGTTCCGTTCGCTTGAGGTCGACACACCATTGTGGCTTGTTGCTTCTGTCCCGCGATCTTGTTGAAAGCTCGAAAGAAGTCAGACATAAATCCTGGCTCCCGATCATGACAGATGATTTCACTCGCACCAAATCTTCGAAATACGCTTTCTTCATAGTTCTCTGCAATCGTCTGTGCAGTTCGGGACGAAGTCGCTTTTGCGATCACGTAACCCGAGAACAGATCGACCCACAACAGCAAATCAGTATTCCCCCTAAACGATCGCGGTAAAGATGGGATATGATCCATTGCCAGAATTTGGAATGGGTACGTCGCTTGCAAGCTGCCTGGAGACCCACCTCGATCTTGTGGGCGACCTTTGCCGGTTTCACAATCAATACATTCGCCATTAAAGAGTTGCACGCTCCGGTACAATCCTCTCCAATGAAAATTCGCCCTGATCCGATGGTATGTACGGCCTACCCCTTGGTGCCTACCCTCTAGAGTATTATGGTAGTGGTGTAGGACGTCTTGTTGCAGCAACTCTGGAATTACCAGACGAATCGACTCTCCACGATCTTCGCTCATTGATGCCACCCTAGGGCAGAAAATTGCAGTCCACTTTGGTCGACTTCGTAGTCTGGTGAGATCAGTGTGCATATCTTTGCGTCCCTAGCACTCAGCGTGGTTATATTCCCGATCAGATATGTCTTCAAGTCCGATAGCCAACTTTCCTCATTTTGCGCATGGTTTACGCGTTCGATCCGGACGTAAAATTTCTTCTTGTAAAACTGTCTGGGGGCATCGTCTTCGCGTCGTTGATCGCGTGATCGCGGCTACCTTGACTGGGTGGTTAGTCTGTTTTGGTATCAGTAGTTCATGTAAACGATTAAGGGTCACGAGATCGTCTCGTTCTTGGTCTGATACTGCTACATCCTTTCCCCTGACGTAACGCCTCGATCGCTAGTCGATCAGCACTCTGGTTCCAGTCCCGTTTCACATGTAGCAATTCGTGTTTTGGCCAAGATCGGAGTTTCCCCATTGCCTTATGTTTCAGAAGTTGTAGTCCTGGTGCCTTACAGTCGATTTCACCTCGCATCTGTCTTATTACCAAGTTCGAGTCACCACAAAAGATCACCCGACCTATGATCTGATCGGACACTGACTCCAGACCCAGCAACAGCCCACAATATTCTGCCTCGTTTACCGTCAAATCATCCGCAAATTCTGAAGTAGCCACCACGATCGTCCATTCAGGCAACTTCCATATCATTGCGCTGTAAGTGCCACCTTTCTTCTTTACCCTAGCCGATCCATCGAAACTGACCACCAGGACACTTTCGCCTACTTTGACTGTGGGTGGTGGATACTAATGTTTTTTATTTCGTGGTTGTTTCCTTGGAGCGATCGCAATCAGCACTTCATCTACATCCTTTCGAGGTGTTATACTTGCAGCCAGCGTACCTAGCACTTCGTCTTCGCCTTTTTCGCACCGTCTGATATTTAGCGTCCAGTTCGATAGTAACGCCGACCATCTCCCTAGTCTTCCGTTAAGACCCGACGACTGCAATAGCCAATCCAACGTCGAGTATCTCGTAAGCACCATGATCTTCCGCGAAAACAACATCGTATAACAAATGTCTAACATTCGGAGGAGGGCTAGCACTTCTTTCTCAACAATTCCGTAATTGACTTCGTTGGAGTTCAGCGTGCGACTAGAAAAAATGACAGGCCAATACGTGCCGTCATACTCTTGAAGCAATGCGGCTGATACCGCCCACTTACTGGCGTAAACCACAATCACCGGTGCTCGATCTGTCGAAATGTCTTAAGATCGGTGTTTTAG